TTGAGGAACGTAACGGTTCCCGGAGCGTCAGTATAACAATGGAAAGTTAGTCAAATGAGGGGGGGATCAGTGCGGAGCGCAGCCGTGTTTAGAATGTGCGGCGGGATGAGCATCAGTAAAGGAGCAAGGAGTGGAGGAGGGCGACGCAAAGTGTAGTGGTCCCTGGAAGCCCGCCGGTGCACCGCATAGCCACGGCAGAGTCCGCGGCTGGAGAGGCGAGGGGGCACGGACGGCAACCCACCAACGGATTCTAGCAGGATTAACGGGCGCTCCAAGCCGTATATAAAGAGGCTTATTGGAGCGAATCGGGTCGAGTCTTTTTAGGAAACTTGTAGCGTTGAGTTGGAGGACCGCCTATGGAGAGTCCGACATTCAAGTGTTAAAGTGTTTCTAAAAAGATCCCGGTAGCTTGAGCTGAAGGACGATCTAAGGAAGGATCCGTTGCAGGACGGTTCCTCTAAAGCCCAGGGTATAATAGTCAAATTGGGCTATTCCCGACCTCGGCATTTAACCTTGCCACGAAGCGAGTTAGGGACAAGTCTGACTGACTCCTGAATTGCTACGAATAGGCGTGATTCTGCGAGACAAGGATAGGCCGACTCGTGAACTCACGCCAGTTATGAAACCGAACACTCCGGTCACCAGTCAATAAGCTCCCGATCCGGATTCAGTAGCGTGTATGCGCGGTATTTTCCTGGTGTATTGGGGGCGTGACGACCACCGGCCAACTCCCGATTCGGACGCACTACCGCGTAGTGTTTCCCAGGTCAAGTGGAGGTGCGACGACCACCAGCTTACCCCCGTTCCGGACTCGCTAGCGCGTATGCGCAGTGTTTCCAGGTGTAGCGGAAGCGACAGTCAGCTGCTATCACCCGATCCAGACTGGCTAGCGCGTATGCGCTCTGTTTCCTTGATGTAGCGGAGCGGACGAGCGACGCCCAGTCTTTGACCTGTCGCAATCGAGCCAAGGGCATTTTTCGATAGGTGGGAAGGCCTACGTGCGGCCAGCAAAAGTGCGACATTGAGGAAACCAACGTCAACGTAGCAAGATGAACAGCAGCGGTGACTGAGCAACTGCCGCGAACATAACAACAGGAACGGCCAACAGGAAGCGCCAACGACGGAGCTGAGCGAAAAGCCGGAGGAGCAGCAAGGATCCGGAGCGGAACCCATTTTGGAAACAAGGAGTAATTCATATTGTATTTGGAAAGGCCTCTGAATGAAGGCTTTACAAATTTGTATACTATCTGTATTATTTCTGGGCTCGGGCAATCACGTCGAAATATAAATTCCGTGGAATAGACCTACAAACTCTGTGAGCTAGCCGCGGTGAGTTGTTGGAAACAGAAAAGCCGGAAGCAGAAGAACGGTTCGTTACAAGGCTTAAGATTAGAAAAAAATATAGCATTGAAAAGGCAGCATCGTTCTTTTTATTTCTCTTTGATTTAGCAGCCACCAATTATTTTTTATTTATTATTTATTGTGTGAGAGAAAAAATAGTCTTGATAAACACCAGGTATCGGAAATTATACAGTCTTTCGATTCCTTTAAAACATTAGTGAACTCGGACACTTTCAAGGGGCTTATAAATAAGATTCGTTCAAATTGTATATCTATTTTAAGATACCAGCTAGTTTTACCATAAGGATAAGCATATCGAGCAAAGCGAAGTGGTTTGACCATGGGGTCTCCAGTTTTTGATGGGTTTTTTGTATCTTATGACTTTTCTGTGGCTCAAGTATGGAACATGCAACTCTAAAGGGCTAAATGACCTTCTCGACCGGACTTATTCTTTCTATTGGACGGATGCTACAGTTCTTCTTCTACAGTGTATTGACGTCAATAGATGGAAGATATTTTTTGGCCAATGCCAAAATATCCATTGGCCAATGCCATTTCTCCAATGAGAAATGTTTTTACTAGTGAGGATCCAAAGGCCTGTGCAAAAGGAATCTTCCTCTTAGTGAGCTAAAAAACTTTGATTTGTGGTGTGTTACACGCAGTTGAGTTGACTGGCCTTCAACGGAGTTTAGGCAGGTCTTCAAGAAAAATGCCGCTCTAGAGACAAAGGTGGATAAAGTCAATAATTCTTTAAACTTTCATCATTTTAGACAGATGGTAAAACGAAAGAGCTAACCACTTTAACCCAGTCCATTAGAGACTTTCCGCTTTTCCAAGTGAAGCTCCCTAGTCAACTGTTTATTGCAATTGGCCAAACAGGTGCTATAGAATTCACGGCATGGCGATTGCCAAAGAATCAGTGGCCCTGTAGATCGTCGCATTGTACACAAAGTACACAAGGAATATGCATTAATGTTGCCATACTCTCATGAACGACTTGTATGTAAGAGTCGCTCGTTTTAGCGACTTCTAGTAAAAGAACACGCCATAGGAACACTTTTGTTTCTATGAGATGTTCCATTTATGGATTTGGAACAGTTGTGTCGCCTTGTATTTGGCTAACAAGAGGCACGACAGGCCCCATCATGCCCATGAAAGAGATCTTACTCTCTTTCTTACGCTCACCTTTCGTTCATCTTAACCTCATATTCTTATTGAATGTTTTCTGTTTTTCAGTCTCTGAAAGGAGCATCATAAATAAGGTTTGTCTGCGCTTTGATTGATTATCATATTGATTTTTTTTTCCCATACATTCACCTACCCGGCTGAATGTGTGCGTGTGATTTCGTGCCGAAGCCAGCGCACACAAGTATCGATTTTTCTAACTTTTCAGGTTTTCTACCCTAAGAAAATTCGGGTATTTGTTAAAGGGTGAAAAACCCAAAAAAATAATATTAGTTGTTATATTATATTTTTTAATATTTCACCATACATTTCACATACATTTTTCGGAGTCACATTAAAAGCCGATTGCTTTAAAGTTTTTATTGTTCTGCAAGAGGCTTGTGCATGCAAACTCTAACCAAAGATTATACAGTACATAGATGGGACATCTCATACAAAGAAAAATTTTCTATGGCGGGTTCCAGCAGTGGAACCCGCTGGAACGAGCGGGTTCCATTGCGCGACAAGTTAAGTTTGAGAAATTTTTCGCGCGACAACGAATGAGGAATAGCCGAGTGGTAGAGTGCTTGGCTGGTGTGCAAAGTAAAGCGAGTTCAAACCAGGCTCGGGAAGTCCATTTTTTTTTAATTTTAAATCTATTTATATTATATTTTTATTATTTTAATGTATTTTTCTAAATTTATAATCCAATAAAAAAAATACAAAATTGTAAAATCACCTTAACATCGTCTCAGTTCGTAGTGGAACCCGCTGTAAAAATGTCTATAAGTGCGGGTTCTACGGCATTTTGGCAGGCCGCGTCGTGGAACCCGCTCTCAAATGTTTTCATTTTTTCCGTCGTGGAACCCGCTGTAATAATGAAAACATTTGAGAGCGGGTTCCACGACAAACGGCTGGCAGATGAGATAGGGAGAGAGAGAATTCTATTTTTAGATCGTAACATCTTTGGAACGATGAAAGTTTGAAACGTTGTAACCGAACCAATGTGAGAGTAAAGAGATCAGATATATCTTTTACTATCCTTACTCGTCAGCTCTGTTTTTGGTATAGTTTCTAGCGTCTCCTTTAACACCAATTTTAAGTTTCATAAAATCAACTTCGAGGGTAGCCTAGATGGATAGTGCGCGGTCCTTATTCATGGGGTCCTGGGTTCGATTACACCAGCGGGCTGTTTTTCCAATTTTGATAAAGTTTTATGATTCTTTTTATACTGAGTTATTTATTTTTTTTTTTTTTAATTTTTACGTTATTATTATTATTTAATTGCATTCTATTACAATTATTGTAAAAATAAGTGACGGACGTGTCGGATGACAAAATGCCGGAAGGACTCCCTTGAAATTGTATTAGCATGTTATTAGCGGGACATAATAAAGATTAAAAAATTTTTACAATTGTAAAATTAAATAAAAATATTACAATTAAAGACAAATAAAAAAAAAATAATTATTACAAAAGAAAGAAAAAGTTCAAAGTCCTTACGAGGATTTGAACACAGAAAAATTACACATAGAGTAACTACTTTATGCATTACGCTACCATCCTGTCTCAATCTGTGGCGATCAAAAATACTATTTGTTCTACCAACTACCACATCGGCGCATCGAAAACAGAAACGAGAAATTGAAATTGAAATTTGGAAGCCAAAACATTTTTACTCCGTCGTGCGAGCAGTCACACATACATACATAGGTTCACATTTTTGTTGACGGATACATGTAAGGAGTTCTAAAAATAGAATCGTATGCATGTGCGTTCCCCCCTCACCAACAAGCTCGACGTAAAAAGTTGACCGTTTTGGGCCCTGATGTCCCATCTATGTACTTTATAATCTTTGCTCTAACTATTGGAATGGTTCGGAAAAAATGGTTCGGCTGTAATTAATCAGGATATTCATATGCTCTCAAGAATTAGGAAAAAGAATCCCCATCGAAAATAGTTAAAAATATATTATTTACGTGCCTTAAAAACTTTTACGTGCCGTACCTTGGATACTTTCGTGTGTTTTAAAACTAATAACAAAGCAATCCAGTACTTAAGCAAAATATAAATGTCTTTAACTCTCCTAAAAAAAGTTCCTTTTGGGCCTCCGAGAACCATGAAAAGTTAGTAAAATGAAACAAGCAAGTATCGGAATCAAAACATTACATCTAAAACTCCTCTAAAAATCCACCGATAAAGTAGACTTTTCTTTCGTGGATAATAAAATAATAACAGTAATTTGTATTTGGCTTCAAATACAGATATGTATGTGCCAATGAAACTTTCATTGCGTGGGTATTGTAGGACTCTTGATGCAAAATTGTATAGATCTGATAGAAACAGATAGAAAGTCAGATAGACATTGCTATATCGACTCGGTTTTTGATGATTTTGATTTTGATTTTGATTGTAAAAATACAATGGAGTACTAGGGACTAAGGACCGTTGTTTGCTAACTATATATTTTGTCAAGAATTATTTGTATATCTTACTTTGCGTGAAAAATGTGTGCGCAAGGTAAGGCCTCAAGGTTTCCAGGCTGAAGGCCAAACGATTCACCGCATCCACCGCAATTCAATCCCAACGCAACATCTGTTTGATTTGCAAGTCGAAAATGAATGTTACATTGATCCTCGTCCCCCAGCGAACGATAAATTAGGGCCAGACGACAACGAATTTTTCGGACCAAAAACTGCAAAGAAAAAAATATGTTAATATTATTATTATTTACAACTTTTACAAAATTTTTTATGTTTACTTGGTAAAAAAACATATACATATACATATACATATACATATACATATACATATACATATACATATACATATACATATACATATACATATACATATACATATACATATACATATACATATACATATACATATACATATACATATACATATACATATACATATACATATACATATACATATACATATACATATACATATACATATACATATACATATACATATACATATACATATACATATACATATACATATACATATACATATACATATACATATACATATACATATACATATACATATACATATACATATACATATACATATACATATACATATACATATACATATACATATACATATACATATACATATACATATACATATACATATACATATACATATACATATACATATACATATACATATACATATACATATACATATACATATACATATACATATACATATACATATACATATACATATACATATACATATACATATACATATACATATACATATACATATACATATACATATACATATACATATACATATACATATACATATACATATACATATACATATACATATACATATACATATACATATACATATACATATACATATACATATACATATACATATACATATACATATACATATACATATACATATACATATACATATACATATACATATACATATACATATACATATACATATACATATACATATACATATACATATACATATACATATACATATACATATACATATACATATACATATACATATACATATACATATACATATACATATACATATACATATATTCCAGGCATTCCATATTCTTGTTGAGTTATTTAACGTTTTTTAATATCCGCAATGCTGCATAAGTTACAAGTCCAAGACTCGTACAAACCAAACGGGCCATATTTGGTTTACTTAAATACTAAAGTATGAACACTTATTTAAATCTGCGATTTAATTTTTACTGTACAGGATGAAAGTTTCTACAGTATAGTGTGATAAGGATAGGATAGTGATAAGATTAGTTATTATTTTTTTGCTTTTATTATAATTTATTATTATATTATAATATGTTATTATATTATATATTTATACCCTTGCAAAGTATATATATTTTTGATCAGGATCACTTCCAGAGTCTGTCTGTCCGTCTGTCTGTTTCTACGCAAACTAGTCATTTAGTTTTAAAGCTATCGTCTTGAAACTTTGCACGTAGTATATGAGTCGGAACGGCCGGGATCGGCCGGCTATATCATATAGCATCCATATAACTAAACGATCCGAAATGACGCAACTTTTACCATTTTGAGAATAGATAGTTGAAACTTTCTGCTGGAACATACAGATTCTATTTTGGGTCAGTTGATCCAAGCTACCAAATTTCATAACGATCGGCGGACTATATCTTATAGCTGAACGATCGGAAATGGTGTTTGGTGTTTAGTAAAAATACTTTTGAATTTTTGAAGATAGAAACTTGGGGTTTTTTTTTTAAGATTTGTTACTGTATTCTAATAAATTGGTTATGTTGTGATATTCTCATAATGATCGGGCCACTACATCCCACTATTGCGATATATATCCTGTTTTAACTGCAAGGGTATATCAACTTCGGATCTGCCCGAAGTAAGCTTTTCTTTCTGGTTTTATATATATTAAAACATCAGATTCTTAATAGCCATGAATTCTGAAATTCCTAAGTTAAGTCCCTATCTCTCTTTGGCCATGGTGTGCGACCCCTACATGCAATCCGTTAGCCGCCAAGCATCGAAAAAATTCACTTTTCTCAAGCTCATCGCGCCGCTCAGACCACCGGGTTTGACCCCCGCTCCGGTCTCCTTATAACCGCAATAAAGGGAGTTTAATTGAAAGATTTATTATATGGGGAACTGGGAAAGCTTTCAGGTACCAAAAGTGCTCGGTAACTCAAAAGGGTCCATCTTAGAGAGCTTCAGATTTTCAATGACTAGGTCGGGCCACCATCCCGATAATAGGAAGTTTTAGCTCCGCAATGTCTAAGCTGTGCCGCATACACTGCACTTATCATTCCCACAATAAATTGGTCAATTGTCAGAGCATCCAATATTCTTTGCATGCAGAATATATATTTTCATTACGTTTAAAATATCAAATTTCGGCTTCTTTTAATTTTCAAATATTTGAGGAGTCATGGAAAAATATCAATGGGCAAACACATCTGATCGGTTGATGTTTTGCTTTCCTAAGTCTGGCTCTCTGAAGCTGAAATGAGGACCTCCGTGCCAAAAAAGAAAAGGAGTCAGGAAATTTAGATTAAAGAGATTACCAGAGACAAAAACTAGCGGCCTCGAATTAAGTCTTGTGGCAGTAAAATAGTCATGAGTCTCGTTGTTCTTTAATACAAAAGAACATACGACTCTGTATAAAAGATACATTGCATGCGCCTTCCTGCGGGAATTGTTCACGGCCATTCAAGAAAATTTTGAAGAAGACTTTTCGCGACCATTTTTTTATTTGCTTGCTTTTAATTTGTATTTGTTTTTTTCTTTTTTACTACATTTTATATTATGGTATTATGATAGTCTTAGTCCCACGTGCCATAAATAATAATAATTAAGTCATTTAATGCACATATGCGTTAAGACAAAACCCAGGCCTAAAGTTTCGAAACGGGATACTACCTATTGGCCCAAGAGACTTGAGGGCAGACGCGTAGAACTAAGAACACAAGCCATAAGCTCGTAACCATAAAGACCGAGAGACTGTCGAGCCTTTCATCACAGCGTTTGCAAAGATATCTCTGCTGGTCCATCCTCTACGCATGGTGGATGCTTTTCGACTAGAAAGTTCTTTGAGTCAACACTATTCCAACAATGTATGCAAATATAGATGAGTCCCTGTCGAGACTGAATAAAAAGACTTATGACCTTCATATCAGAAAAGTCATATACATAAGAGAGTGCGCCAAAGCAGAAGAAAAGCCAGACACCACTGTTGTAGGGGGGCGCTGTTGCCGCAAAAGGTTCCAGGAGTAAAGTTGAAATGAAAAGTACACGGATAGAGGGCGTACACGGGTCGATGAAGGCCCCAGTGTCGAAGATCCGGGTCCCGATGTTGACGCTGTTCCGGTTCAGCAGCGACGATAGGGTGGGCGCAGCGACCGCGTCCTGCGGGGGCCCTCGAGGAGAGGCGGAAAGTTGCTTACGCGCGGATGACGCGGGCGAACGAGCGGTGGACGGCACCCGATGAGTAGCGGACGAAAGCAGTGGAGAGCTTGACGACTGCCAGCCAGTGGCGGAAGAATGCCGAGGAGTTGCCGACGAGCGCCGGAAAGTCGATGGCCGTGGATCGGCTTGTGAGTGCCGGAACGACTGGCGGACGAAGGCCGAGAAGTACCCGAACAGCGCCGGGAGTTGGCGGACGACGGCCGACGAGAGAGCGAGACACCCCGTGTACTGTCTCCCAAGCTCCGTGACCGGTGCTCCTTGGTCACAGGGTGCAGCAGCGTGTGGTGGTCCTGACCACACGTCTTACAGCCGTCGCCACGCCGACAGGATCCGTCGGAGTGCTCGTGGGTCGAGCTATAGCGGTTCACGAGAACAGCTCGGAGAACAGTCCTTGGCACTAAGGTGTAGGAAGCGCCGACACTTCTTCAATGGATGGATCCCATTGCAGACTCGGCATCGGTAGGATTGTGTACCTCGAGTACATCTGCTCTCCAGTGATTGGGCTTTGCGTGGGCGTGGCGACATCGTGCTGAATATGATCTTGGAATCCAGAATTTTCCCCGGATCACCCATCCGAAAATGGTCTCCTGACCGAGAAGCGACCCCCAGATGTTAGCCTTGGAATTACCGAGGAGAATGGACGGAAGAATGTCAGCTCCTAATAACACATCGACATGGGAGCTCTCAAAGAAGTTGGGGTCCGCCAGGGGAATGTCGAGCAGCCCCTTGAGACGATCTCGTGAAATCGGATATGATGGCAGATTTCCTGCCAACTGCGGAAGAACGTAAGCCGCAGTCTCTAATTGTAGCCCGGGTCTAGACGGCGACCGAATGGCACCGAAATGGCACAATTTAGTAGACTGCGCGGAAATGGTCTGATTGAGGCCGGAAACTTGGGCTTGAATCGCCTTGAAAAGAGGCTTGACGAGGTTGAACAGTCGTTCCGTTATGAAAGTCGCTTCGGAGCCTGAGTCTATCAGTGCTCGTGCCTGGACGGTGCACCCCAAATGGCACACGTTGATAAGGGCCGTGCCCAGTAGAACGGCTCCTCACCCGGAAGCGAAACACACCTGTACATTCTACTGATCCTCTGAGCCGTTTGCTGGCGTAGGCGGACTTTTAGCGGTGGCGAACGGATTGCCGCGGTGCAGGAGGGTGTGGTGTCGGCTGTGGCATGTGAAGCAGGTATGGGCGCTCGTGCAGTCTCGCTGCTGGTGCCCTCGGGCAAAACAGTTTAAACATAACTGCTTCCTCCTTATGTAGGCAGAGCGCCCATTTACATCCATTTCTAGGAAACGCTAACAAAAGCGAATGGGGTGGTCCTCCCTCGAACAGAGATCGCAGCCCTTTTGGCCCGGAACCACTCGAGTCTCGTATGAAGTGAGCCTCCGAGCAGGGGCAGTAGGAAGCCCCGACCTTGGCGATGGCGCTCTGTCAGGAAGTTATCTAATTCCTTCCATGTTGGAATCTCTGCCTTATTATGTACGGATCGCTCCCACATAGAAAGTGTGACTTTGGGGATCTTTGACGAAATCATAAATACCAGGAGACAGTCCCAAGCCTCAACATCAACAGAGAACATTTCTAGGAATGTCAAACAACTCTGAATGGTGGCTTGCAATAGTGGCCTTTTGCGCGACCCCGGACTCTTAAGAAATAGCCTGGATGTTGAAAAGGATCTTCAACTGGCTGTTGA